GGAGGGAAGGTAGGGGAGAGGGAGTGGAGCAGACTAAATTTAAAAGATGTGGGGGAGGTGGAGGAGGGGAGAGGGATATTAAGGGGGAAAGGGTGATTTTAGGGGAAGGGGTAATGTTGAGGGGGTAGGGGGAAGCTAAGGGTAGGGGTGATATCAGGGAGAAGGGGAATAGGAAGGGGTGAATTTGAGGGGGAAGGGTTAGGGGTAATGTTAAGGGGTAATGTTAAAGGGGAAGCTAAGGGTAGTTCCACACATGAGTCACACCCCAAACAGGGAGAGCGAGGCCGTTCCTGTACCCAATGATAATGTCTTCCTTCCTGGGGCATCGTGGACCACCAGACAAGGGCAGCTGAGGACCTCCTGCTGATGCCCTACTGGCCTCACACCTCTACCTCACACCTCTCTGGCCTCACACCTCTACTTCACACCTCTCTGGCCTCACACCTCTACCTCACACCTCTCTGGCCTCATTCCTCCCCTACCTTTAGTGTGAGGGTAGGGTAGGTGGATGGAAGGGAGGAGAAAGAGGAGAGAGGATGGAAATGGGGAGGGGAGGAAACGGAGGGGAGGAAGAGGGGGGAGAGGGGGAAGGGGGGGAAGGGGGGGCTAGTTAAGAGGCGGGTCACATCACGGCGTTTCCAAAGTCCTATGTATAAGGCATACGAGTCACTACGGCTTGCTGTGTGGAGAGAGAGAGAGAGAGAGAGAGAGAGAGAGAGAGAGAGAGATAATGTATGGTGATGCTCCAAGGTAAGACGGAAACAAGAGGAAGAACGTTAGCCTTTCCTCTTTCCTCCCTCCTTTCCTCTTTCCCTTCCTCCCTCCTACGTCTTTTCTTGCCCCCCTCCACCCTTCCTCCCTCCTTCCTTCCCTCTTTCTCTCCCTCCCTCACCTTCATCCTTTCAATTTCCATAGTTTCAACTAGTGGGACGGAGGAGGAGGCACTGGTAGCGGTAGTCAGGTGTAGGAGTGCCAATCAGGTATGGGAGTGCCAATCAGGTATGGGAGTGCCAGTCAGGTGTGGGAGTGCCAATCAAGTATGGGAGTGCCAATCAAGTATGGGAGTGCCAATCAGGTGTGGGAGTGCCAGTCAGGTGTGGGAGTGCCAGTCAGGTATGGGAGTGCCAGTCAAGTGTGGGAGTGCCAGTCAGGTGTGGGAGTGCAATCATGGGAGTGCCAGTCATATGGGGAGTGCCAGTCAGGTGGGAGTGCCAGTCAGGTATGGGAGGCCAGTGCATGGGAGTAGTCAGTGGAGTGCCAGTCAGGTATGGGAGTGCCAGGTCAGGCATGGGAGTGCCAGTCAGGTGTGGGAGTGCCAGTCAGGCATGGGAGTGCCAGTCAAGTGGGAGTGCCAGTCAGGTGGGAGTGCCAATCAAGTATGGGGAGTGCAATCAGTTGTGGGGTGCCAGCAGGTGACTTCTATAATGTCAAGCATAAATCAACCAGCATTACTAGTCACACACACACACACACACACACACACACACACACACACACACACACACACACAGTAAAGCGCCACAAGAATCATCAAACAACATGGTGAAGTGAGGGGGGAGAGGGATTAAGAGGGAGGGTTAGCACAGTGGGGGAGAGGGGAGGGGACCTAGTGGGAGAGGGGAGGGGACTCAGTGGGGAGAGGGAGGGAGGGAGGGGAGGGTGAGAGCATGACCTGACCTAACTGTGACCAAACTGGAATCTTATGGGTCAAATCTCACAAGGCTTTCGTCCACATCACTCGGCCACACCTCCTCTATTTATTCACTGTAGCGTCTGTATGTTAAGTAAGGAAAACTATATTGATATAACCTTGAAGTGTGTGGAGGCTGGTGGATGGCCATGGTGAGGCGGTGTGTATGGCCCTGAGGAATGAGAAGTGAGGCATTGTTCCCTCAGACGTCATAGGTAGAGTGGCACCTTACATCATGACACACCTCAACACGTTATATACTTTCACACTCCATAATGCATTAATGTTTATGACAAGTGTTGAGAGAGAGAGAGAGAGAGAGAGAGAGAGAGAGAGAGAGAGAGAGAGAGAGAGAGAGAGAGAGAGAGATATTAACAACACACGAATGACTTGACAGGATGCGACAGGGGGAAACCCATATGAACCCTGCTAGATAGGGTCCAACAAGATACATTAACCACACTAACGCCTGCTAGATGTGAACTTAGACTCAATAGCCACACTAGGTACAGCTAGATGTGAACTTAGACTCAAGGGCCACACTTACGCACAGCTAAATGTGAACACAACACACAATGGCCACACTAAAGTCTCACAAAGGCCACAATAACCCCTGCTAGATGGGAACGAAGGGCACAGGGGCCACACTAAACAGTTATGTAATGATGGGAGATAAAATTCAACTTGTGTTTTTGTTTAGGCGAAGCCCCATAAATACCTGAAGGTAGGATAGATTATTGTAATGATCAGCGCGGCGGACCACCAACGCTTACAGTAAATAAACCAAAACGACTCATAATATAACTATGGAATCTGGTCATTTAGGCCCCAGTCATAACCTAACCTAGTCCTAATCTAACCTAACCTAACCTAGCTTAATCTAACCTAATCTAATTCTGCTAGGGTAATTACTTCTGTATTAGGATGGTTAGGTAATAAAATGGTGGAGAAGGTGTGGTTATAAGGGAATATTGGAGGTCAATATCAACAAAAAAGTAGTAGTAGTAGTAGTAGTAGTAGTAGTAGTATAGCCCTCAGTGAGCACAGAGTAGTTGTAAGTGCAACAACTTGAGGGAAAAAGTAGCTATAGCGCAGAAGGTGAGCGCCTCGAACTGGCTAACAACGTTATTGATAAGAGCAAATAATTTCAGTCCTAATAAAGAAGAATTTACAGATGCCATTGCTCTAAGGTATGGATGGCCAGTAGAAGGTTTGCCCTCCCAATGTGTGTGGCTCATCCTACAACATCGTCCACACCATAATTAAGTCAAGATATAATACAGAAACCACATAAGTAAGACAATAAGTAATATTAGTGGTGACTTGGGTAGTGGTTGGTGGGGGAGAAACATTACCTTACTTATAAGTGTGGAGGCTGGGAGTCACGCAGGAGGTATAACACACGGCAGGTCACGGTGTAAACAATACCTCTTACTGGTGACCAACACTAGAGTTAACAATAACCCTTAGAGGCGGCGAGGTGTGAATGTCTCCACAAAAGGTTGATGCCTTAACGAGGAGGCATGAAGAAGGCATAACGAATACGACGACCTTAAACGGAAGATGCGGTCATGAGTTGAAGGAGGGTGCTGCCCCCTGCCACCGCCTTAACCCTTGCTGCTCTCTCCGCTAGCTGCAACGGGGGTCATAACCTCCTCCTCCCACGTCTGTCCCACAAGGAGATTTCAATGCCGCCAATGAGTGTATCAGCCGTAGTACCTTGTAGAGGCATGAGGGCGCTGTGCCCCGTGCCCCGCCCCGCCCTGCCGCCCGCCTCCACTACAATAACAAATCCAGGAGCTGATGGTTCTGCCACCTGGCCACGCCACACCACCTGCATCACACCTGGTCACTAACATAAAAAAAACACTTAATCAGTAGACCAAACCCGAACAACAGGTAAGAGGGCAGGACCAGGAGCTGCCCGAGGGCCGCCCCCACCACACTAGCTGGACCATGCCACAGCGCTGAGTCACTTCAGTTGACGCCCACGCCCGCTGTATCACTGTGGGTGGGCAGAGGCCAGACCTGGCTGGCCTGCTATCACCGTCCTCACCAAACACCCAGGTTAAGTCCCCCCCGGCACCACCACACCACCTCTCTCTTTGTTTTGCACCAGTAAGAGGACGCATCCATCTTAGTAACGGTGACCCCAACCCCCTACTGTGCTGCCTCACACCCCTGCACACACACACACACACACACACACACACTTCCCACATCTGTACCTCGACACCTGTACTAACATCATCACCACACCTGCACCCCTACACCACCACACCTGCACCCTTACACCACACCTGCACCCCTACACCACCACACCTGCACCCCTACACCACCATACCTGCACCCCTACACCATCTACACCACCACACCTGTACCTCTTACTTTACCTGTATGTTAATGACCTCACCTCACACTCATACCAGACAAGGTCAGATGCAAGGTACCGTCTGTCAGCGAGGCGGGGGCTGGTCACCCCCTGGGGCACACACACACACACACACACACACACACACACACACACACACCTTCCCAGTGTTGGTGCTGGTGTATTCAGTAGGTAATAGTGGTGGTTGTGGATGGTGGTTGTTTTGGTTGAGGTGAAGATGGTGGTAGTGGTGGAGTGATGGTTGCTGGTGATGTTGGAACTAATAGTGATGGTGGTGGTAGTGATGATACTGGAAGTGATGGTAGTGATGATGGTGGTGGCAGTAGTGATGGTGGTAGTGATGATGGTAGTGATGGTGGTAGTGGTGGTGGTAGTGGTGGTGGTAGTGATGGGAGTGGTAGTGATGGTGGTAGTGATGGTGGTAGTGGTGGCGGTAGTGGTGGTGGTAGTGATGGTGGTAGTGGTGGTAGTGATGGTGGTAGTGGTAGTGATGGTGGCAGTGATGGTGGTAGTGGTGGTAGTGATGGTGGTAGTGATGGTGGTAGTGATGGTGTGGTGGTACTGGCGCTATACCAACATGGTAATGTGGGGCCGGCTCCGATTATCCTGGCTCCCAACTCCGTTCCTCGCCCACTAATACTCCTATGTGCCCCCCCTACCACCCCCACCATCCTACAACCCCCACCACATCCCCACCACCCCCACCATCCCACCACCTCCCATCATCCCACCACCCCCACCATCC